CGAGGTAAAGGTCAGGGAAGCATGGGCAAGCCCTGAGAAATCAGGCCCTTTTATAGGGTTGATTTTGGGGATTATAGGGCCTAATAGCCCATCCTTATAAGAGAAGGTGAGCAACATGCGAGTAGTTGAAAAGAAAGTGGCCATGTGGCTCGTAGCTCATCATAAATCTATCAGATCTCGAACAGACGAATGTTCAGGCTGGTGTTTTTAGACAATGATTTAACCGAAACCCTGGGTCTCACACATGTTTTCAGAGAGTCAAGAGCGCATCAGGAGGCTGGATTGATTATATACGCCCCCCATTCAAATCTCTAATGAAGAACTTATCCTTCAGGGAGCAGTGGGGCAGTTGACCAGAGGCCAGTAGAATGATGTTGAATGTTGGAAGTTCCATGAAACGTCGAGGCCAGTGGCAGAAGCAAGGTGTGCACAAGGACCGACAGGGGATGGAGAAGCGGCGCAACCATCAAAGACAGAAGCGGAGTTTGCTGAAGGCAATGCGACCAGAAACCCATTGAGCATCCATGGCATGGATGGCTCAACGTTTCACCTTTCAGTTGAGGATGCTACCACTGTGACCTGGACTTGTTGAATGGTCAAGTGTTGGGAGTTCGGCTAAACCGTATGCATTGGACAACCATGTGATAACAATGGCGATGTCATTCGGTTGTACCTTTCAAGCTCATCCAAGGTGGGTGATCTGTCAAGAACCATTGCAGAAAAGGCCGGTGCGACAAGGTCCGGGCGCAGGCTGGTGCTGACATCTGGTGGTCAGGTTCTAGATGATTCCAAGCCACTGCTGCAACAACTAGTTGGTGAAGAGGTGACATTCGTGGCCAGGAAAGTGTCTGCAGGAGAGGCAGCAGTGAGTCTGCAGCGAGCCTTAGAAGGCGATGCGACAGCAATTGATGGGATTGTCTCCTTGATCTTCTCCAGCATGTTCGACCGGAGCTTGGAAGGTGTGACCTTCTCAACTAGCCTGCAGACTTTGACCTTCGGCACGTGTTTCAACCAGAGCTTGACAGGTGTTGACTTGCCAAGCAGCCTGCAGAATTTGACCTTCGGCTACTCATTTAACCAGAGCTTGGAAGGTGTCACCTTGCCACGCGGCTTGCACAATTTGACCTTCGGCGCTTGCTTCAATCAAAGCTTGGAAGGTGTCACCTTGCCAAGCAGCCTGCAGACTTTGACCTTCGCTGAGTTTGGTTACTTTAACCAAAGCCTGAAGGGGGTCACTTTGCCAAGCAGCCTGCAGACTTTGATCCTCAGCGAGGACTTTGACCAGAGCATGGAAGGTGTCACCCTGCCAAACAACCTGCAGGTCTTGACCTTTGGTGGGAAGTTCAACCAGAGCTTGCAGGGTGTCACCTTGCCAACCAGCTTGGAAAGATTGACCTTTGGCTATGGGTTCGACCAAAGCTTGCACAGTGTCACTTTACCAATGGGCCTTCAGACTTTAAACTTCGACGACCACTTTAACCAGAGCTTGGAAGGTGTCACCTTGCCAAGCGGTCTGCAGACTTTGACCTTCGGCTATGAGTTCAACAAGAGCCTGGAAGGCGGCAACTTGCCAAGCAGCCTGCAAACTTTGACCTTCGGCTATGAGTTCAACCAGGGCTTGGAAGGTGTCAGCTTTCCAAGCAGCCTGCAGACGTTGACCTTCGGCGATAAGTTCAACCAGAGCTTGGAAGGTGTCGCCTTGCCAAACAGCCTTCAGACTTTGACTTTCGGCATCTGTTTCGACCGGAGTTTGGAAAATGTTTCTTTTCCAAACAGCCTGCAGACTTTGACCTTCGGCGCTGAATTTGAGCAGAGCTTGGAAGGTGTCCTCTTGCCAAACAGTGTGCAGAGTTTGACCTTTGGCCGGCAATTCAATCAGAGCTTGGCAGGTGTCACCTTGCCAAGCAGTCTGCAGATTCTGACCTTCGGCAGCTCTTTCAACCAGAGCTTTCAAGGGGTCAGTTTGCCAAGCAGCCTGGAGAATTTGACCTTCGGCGAGGACTTCAACAAGAGCTTGGAAGGTGTCACCTTGCCAGGCAGTCTGCAGACTTTGACCTTCGGCTATGATTTCAACAAGAGCTTGAAAGGTGTCACCTTGCCAAGCAGTCTGCAGACTTTGACGTTCGGCTATGAGTTCAACAAGAGCTTGGAAGGTGTCACTTTGCCAACCAGCCTGCAGACTTTGACCTTCGGCTGCGAGTTCAACCAGAGCTTGGAGGGCGTCACCTTGCCAAGCAGCCTGCAGACTTTGACCTTCGGTCTCTCGTTTAATCAGAGCTTGAAAGGTGTCACTTTGCCAAGCAGCCTGCAATCTTTGACCTTCGGCTACGAGTTCAACCAGTGCTTGGAGGGTGTCACCTTGCCAAGCAGCCTGCAGACTTTGACCTTCGGTCCCTCTTTCAATCAGAGCTTAGGAGGTGTCACTTTGCCAACCAGCCTGCAAACTTTGACCTTTGGCGAGAACTTCAACCGGAGCTTGGAGGGTGTCACTTTGCCAAGCAGCCTGCAGACTTTGACCTTCGGTCTTTCTTTCAATCAGAGCTTGGGAGGTGTCACTTTGCCAACCAGCCTGCAAACTTTGACCTTTGGCGAGAACTTTAACCGGAGCTTGGATGGTGTCTCCTTGCCAAGCAGCCTGCAGACTTTGACCTTCGGCAAGAGCTTTAACCAGAGCTTAGATGGTGTCACCTTGCAAAGCAACCTGCAGACTTTGATCTTCGGCAACTCTTTCGACCAGAGCTTGGATGGTGTCACCTTACCAAGCAGCCTGCAGACTTTGACCTTTGGCGATGCTTTCGAACAAAGTCTAGAAGGTGTCACTTTTCCTTCGAGCCTGCAGCACTTGAACTACCATGATTTTATCATTTCTGGCAGTGCTTAGTGTGCTTTTGAGTTCATTTGTCATCACCTGTTCTCTCACGGCGAAGCCGTTGATGTCGGCCAAGCTGAGCGCACAGACACCGTATGCATCAAATTGAGCTTGCCCAGCACTGTCTCGTTTGCAAGACGAGACGACTCTCTTAGAAGGGGAGGAAGATGTGTCGCCAGCTCTGTAGCCACTTTTGTCACATAGAGCCGAGGCCGAGGAAAATAGCCCACCCAGCCAGAAACAGAGACGAGGAAATTGTATCATGCGAGAGCTGAAGAGCCAGAACATCGAGGCTATACAGAGATGGCTCAGCCAGCATCTGAGTGCACTTGAGCAGCATAGCCCATGTGGATGTTCACTTGAACAGGTGCTGCTCACTTGAGTGTGTGCTGACGAGTCAAGATAGCGAAGAGCTCGACTCTGTCTTCGGATGCTTGCCGTCTAGCATCTTGACACACAGACCACATATCAAAAACAAAGTCCACATTCCAGCGCACTCCCTATACGGGTGCGGGCGACTGAGTTCCTTGCTCCAGCGTCGAGACTGCTCCTACGAGTTCAGATGTCGGGGTTTGCAGGGTCCCGAGGCCGGCTTGATTGCTTTTCGCTTTGCATGATTTGGCAGTTGCCTCCCCTAGTTTCTGGCAGGCTCGAAGCTTCTGCAACTACACTCATCGTCCCCGGAAGTTAGCTCAATGAGCACTTCTCTACATTCTGCCAGGATGCCATCATTCCCGTGCACGCACATTGTCTGCACGCAACTTGCAACAGATTGCTGCCAGTAGGGACCAACAGCAGAGCCTTCTCGTCACGGCTAAGGCGCAGCAGGCAGGCAACCTGGCCGAACCTTGCAAATCATATGTTGCAGCGGCTCTGTTTGGAGCAATTGCGAGCCACCTGCTTGGATTCTTTGGGTGCTCCACCAGCACACGCCCAGATCCCCGTCTCCCACAGCCTTACCCAGCCGCGCGAGGCGGGCAGCAATGAAGCGGAGCGTCCGGTTTGTGCCTCACTGCATGAAAGGCATCATTGAAGCATCGAGAATACGGAAAGCGGGTTTCCTGCGCGCTAAGCAAGGTCTTGGACCTTGGAAGCCAGCGTTGCCAAAAGAACCCCAGGGCTATGTCCTCAAAGGTTACGGTATCAAAGAGCCCTACATTTTCTGGGCGTGGAGCTTGCGAGGGCAGGAAGAAAATGCAAAAAAGCCTTCATTCCCGCACACACGCCCTGGGTGCGTGCGACTTGCTGCCCCTGCCCGGCTGCTTCTGCGCCAGGGCAATCTGGAAAGTGTGCGTCGGTTCTACATGGGGCTCATTTCGTCGTTTGACTTCTGTGAGGCTTATTCAGAAGATCTTGCAGACCCACAGAAAGCCTGCCATTAGCCATTTGGGCTATTGTTCTCAGCTTGCGGCGAGCAAGCACGCCCGTTTGGTGACCAGGAGAGCATCGTCACTTATTGGGTTCAAGTTTCAGCCTGCTCATTGGTCCTGTTTCCACGTTGATGCAGATGTCATCCCCTCATAGGGGCAATGATCAAACGTGGGTCCTTGAACTTTCCTATACACGGAAATCGGATGAGCACCCTGACCATGATCTTTTACAATCTCCGATGAGCATGTTGTATGTTCCTTCAAATCCTTGTATAGATCCCACATGAGCTACACAACAGCGACTTAGGAGAAGCAGCATCTGATGTTAGAAGATAATCAAGGCAAGTAGCGCTGTTACGTGCTGAACACAGCAGTAGTGAAAACGATGGCAATTGGCGCAACCAATATCGAGAACCGCCATGTATTCAATCTCCCTCCATGCCAAAACCTGGTGTAGTTTTTCGACACGTTTCTATGACTCCGGACCCTCTGAATTGGGAGTAAGTGTCCCATGAGTATGTGAAAAAAACACATAGCAACACTCGTGCTGTTGTCATATTTGACAAAGGCATCATCACCCATCCGCAGCCCGCAGCCCGCAACCCGCACCCTAGACCCTAAACCCTAAACCCTAAAACCTAACCCCTATTAACCCTTAACCCTAAACCCTAAGCCCTCAACCCTCAACCCTAAACCCTAAACCCTAAGCCCTAAACCCTAAATCCTAAACCCTAAACCCTCAGCCAGAACCTTCAGGAGCCATGGCTGGCAGTGCTTCCGAGGAGGAGGCAAAGTATACCTTGGAAGGCAGGGGGAGAAACTGAAAGAAAGATTCGTTGCTTTGGGACGTGCTTCGGGAACACGGGGGTTGATCGCATCCCCCTATGATTAAACACGGGGGCTCCCCCCCCCCCCTCCCAATAGAAACTCGAAACGTTAGGGGGGGGGGGTGTTTTCATCGAAATGTTATGTTTGGGGTCTAAAGGGTTTATGGTCTAGGGTTGAGGGTTTGGAGGGTTTCAGTACTTTATGACTTTAACCCTGAGAGCGTAGAGAGAGAGAGAGAGAGAGAGAGAGAGAGAGAGCTCCACTCAGGCAGCACAGCAAGGCTCAGACAGAGGCTTTGCAGCCACTCTCTCACACACCCACTCACTCACTCACTCTCTCAAGTCACTCACTCACACAGACAGACACAAGACTTGAACACAGATAATTAGCCCTGAATCCCCCCCTAATTCGGAATAGGGTTTAAAAGGCGGGGTCGGTTTCGGCAGGAGTTTCCGGAAAGTGTCTTTATGAGGGGTACGGTTTTTCATACCAGGGGGATGTGATTATGGGGGCCACGCACGTGGCCTTATCTGGAGCATCCACTCATCGGTGGTGCTGTCATTAGGTATGTTGTTGCTGCCCTCTTCCGCTCTCAGGCGCCAATGATATCGAGCCGCTCCCCGACGGAACGGGCAGCTGGCTGGCCCACAGAGCCTCGAGACTCGGGCTGTGGCAATGGAATGCAAAAGGCGTAGCGCCCGCTGTGAATGTTGAGGACATTCCGCAGAGGGACAGGGGAAGCCCCGAATCCTCTTCAATCAGTTCGGTGCTGTGCAAGCTCCGAGATCCGAGATCCTAAGCCCGAAGCTTAGGGGGTGGTTGTGCAAACTGCGAAGTGCTGAGATGCTGAGGAAGGACGTCGCAGGCAGTGGCCCAGGACAGGACTGGATTGCAGAGGCAGAACGGGCCCCCCCAAAAAAAGGCACAATTTCTGTTTCGGAGGGGTCCGGGATGACCACATCTTCTTGGCATTTCTCAGGAACTTCGATTTTTGATCAAGAGCCCCGTGACTGCGTACCAGGTCTTCTCGGACCCTGATGGCCAAGTGCTGGCCAACATCGCTTCGTCTGCTGCGTTCCAGGCCGAATTTCGGGCCTTCTGAGCTCTTTTCTCATACTTGGGGTAGTGTTCGGATGCGCAAGTTACATCAAGCTACCCTCTTCGGCCCTCAAGCCAAGAGTCTTTCTCCCTAGTTAGCTGCCTGATGGCCCCTTGGCGAGCGCTGGTCTAGGGAGACTTCTCTATTCCAAGGTTCGTGTGCTTGTTTCAGATGGCGTTCCAGCTGATCTTTCGTGTCTGGGCATGTCATCGTGCAGGTCAACATGTAAGGCGAGGTGAAGACTAGGGTAGTGAACTCCCTCAGTCGGATTCCAATTCATAGTCTGTCCCTGAGCGCACAGACGCCGCAAACACCATTTCATCACTTGCCAACAGGATGGTCTGAAAGCTAAAGCTGTGGATCCCCTTTTCCGGAGGCTCCATGAGGCACTGTTCTATCTCTTCCTAAACCCTAAAACACTAAACCCTAAACCCCTTTGTTGACGGGGAAGCCTCGTTTCAATACTTGCACCATGATCGCTGAGAGACAGGTGCCGAGTGCCAGGCTGACCCATCGACCCAGGAGCTTTTCAAAGTCTTATTAGGTGAGGCTATCAGGGCTTAAGGTTTGGGGTTTAGGGTTACGGCGCTTTATGAGTACTCGGTTGTTTGGTTCCCGGGAGGTTTTGCTCTTATTTTCACAAGGGATCTTAGTTTTGAGAAAGTCCCGAATGATGTTTGTTTTTTGTGTCCAGGGCCCTTCTTCATTCTGGAAGACATACAGAGACTTTGTTACGGTGGGAGCATGCTCCTGGATGAACCAACTGGCGGGGCCAAATCGCTTCAGACCTTGTGGATATTGGGCTTGGTTCCGACAAGAGGCCTCAGATTCACAATTACTTCATTGCGGAGTGCCAATTCTCACGAAGCGTGGTTCGTCAGCCCGGATGTTGATGTTAGCGGTTGAAACTTCTCCTACGAGGCAGAAAGGGTGAGTCGGGCACTAGGACACTAGGAACTGACAGGGCTCTGCAGCACATACCAGCGGAACTGATGCTCATCTTTGAACGCAGGATCCTGGTCATCTATGGGTCCCTAAGGCCATCTTCCTTCTCACGTGGCTCGGCATGCTGCTCTAACGTATGAGGGCAGGACAGCGCTGGCTTCGGGACTGTCGGCTTTGCAGGTCAGTGATTAGAGGGCAAATCCTGAATTGGAATTTGTGATGTTTTGGATATGTGCTAGGCTGCTACGACCTTGCATATATCGACCAAAGTGTGTTTGAGTTTTTCAGATACGGGCTCCGAAGGAAGAGGGATCCCGAAGCCTTGTACTAACATCACTCAGCAGTTGGGCTTCGTGATCCGCCATTTGCACATCCCTGATGGCAGGGCGAGAATTCCTGCACCAATGGCAGCAGTACAGGAATGATTGGTTACACCTTGCAACAAACTTTCCCATCGAGCAGCTAGTGGCTCTGTGTCTCAGAATTTGCCCGTTGCCAGATTGTTGTGAAGACTTCCATCCTTGCTCGAAGCTTTGGCATCCACCCTAAACCCCCAGATCAGCCCTGCACGCCTGACTGCCTTAAAGCTCCGAAGCCAGGCAAGATGGCCCACGAGTGCTCTCGGCTGTTGGAAGTTCTCCGGCCGCAGAAGGGCGACTGAAATCAGACTTGTCCTTTGAGGTATGGTTGTGCATCTAGGGTTCAGGGTTTCGGATTTTAGCATTCAGGGTTCAGAGTTTAGGGCTGGCTTCTGTGGGAAGACTAGGCCCATGGCAAGCTTAGTTGTTGGGAAAGAGGCGCCGTCAAAAATGTGCCCCTGCAGCTTCTGGAGCTTCTCTGGAGCTTTTGTTTGTTTCATCCCTCTTCCGTGACTTCCGTGGCCTTCACACGAGACGCGACTTGGAATGTGGGGCGACTGTGGATTCTGAGGCCATGCTGTGAGGTTGCCGGCCGTGGTGCCAAGCAGAGGATTAAAAACCGTGACTATTGCTGCCATGATGAATTGCTGCCATGATGATTATCATGATTAGCAAACTGGCTTGGAATTCGTTTAATATTGTTTCAAACGCTCAGAGTTAGAGTGTCGAAACAGGGCGCCTTTGTATCAAGAATCTCCTCCTCCTCCTCCTCCTCCTCGTCCTCCTTCCCTAAACCCCAAACCCTAAACCCTAAACCCTAAACCCCAAACCCCAAACCCTAAACCCTAAACCCCTTCCTCTTCAGTCAGGTGCTGGGTGCGGAGGTGCGAACCTTCAACCCCATGGGCCTCCCGGTGCCTCTTTCTCCCAAATAACTGGCTGGTTCTTAGTAGGGAATGAGGGTTGAGGGTTTAGGGTTTAGGGTTTGGGGTTTCGGGTTTAGGGTTTCGGGTGGTTCCTAGTGGGGAATGAGGGAATGAGGGCCCTACAGAATCCCTTAAAGGGTATATATAAGACCCTCATCCACTCATTCCCTCCTAAGAACCAGGGGGAAGAGAGGGGCAGAGGGAGAGCTTAAGAAGGAGAGAAAGAACAGATAATCAGTTTCTTTCTTTTATTCTTATGCTTTTTTGTTTCTATCTCTCTCTCTCTCTCGCGCGCGCTCTTTTTCTTCTGAATTTTTGTGAGATGTTTGTATCAAGCATTCGACTCCGTTGCGGGGTTGCGCCCTGTTCCGAGGTGCGGGACCCATCCCTGGAGGAGCACCCGAAGGTGCAGGAGCTGCGGAACCTCTCAAAGTGGTCCGAGGGCCACGTCTGGGTGAGCCCGGAGATGCACGGCTGCATCACCGGAGTCTTCAAGAATCAGATCGACTGGCTTCCCCTCAATACGGGCTCGGTCCGACCGACTCAGGCCACAGGGCTTTCAACCTTGGCTGCTTCGTAGAGGGGCTCCCCATGACATGCCCACCCTGAGCATCAGCCCGTAAACAAATTAGTTGCAGACGGCAACGCCAGTGCGAAGAACAGATCTGTCCGCCATGCTCCCTGTGAGGGGCGAACCTGTGTGGTGCTTCAGGTCAACGGCGGCAGTCAGCCTCTCGACAATAAAATGGAAGTGGACATGCTGAAAAGATGAGGGTGGCCAGCAGCAAGCTCTTAGGGTTTCAAAAGGGTCTTCCTGGATACGAGGAAGCAAGACATTCAGACCGTGCATGGCCACACACGCACGCAGACATACACATTGGTGGCGGCAGTGGATTAGGGATGCGCAAGACCAAGCAACCGAATAGAAGGATCTTCCAAACTCGGTCCCCCTGTCTCCTTACCAGGGGCCCTTCTGCGTTGAAAGCGGGGGGTTGTTCTGTTTACTTTCTTCTTTAGAGGGATCCTAGTACTTGCGCACCCAGGAGCTTCAACGCGGTCAATGAGCTGAGACGGCTTGCCCGGTGGATGCGCATGCCCTGCTGCACCAACCAGTCGTCAGTTCCAAAGGCACTCTCGGCTACAGGGATTGTCTTCCATGAGAGATTCCAAACATCCCGAGTGTGTAAGTGGAGTCCAAACTTGGTGTTTTTTGAAAAGCGGGCTCTACACCTGCTTGCGTTTTGAGGTCTTTTGGGAGGTGGTTACTTCCAATGCGCTGTCATCAATTCGTCCTTGAAGTCCTCCTTGTTTGGCCCTGAGGCATGGCAGGAGTTTGACGACGATGGAAGAATGAAAGACTCCGGCTTCCGTGATCGCGTTGTGGACGTCATGGAGGAGTTTTACAAGTGCATGCCTCAGATCACGGGGGGGCGGCGCGATGGGTGGTCCAAAGCTCAGGCCAACACACACCCCAAGAAGGTTCAAAGTTCAAGGTTGTCCATTGTTACACCCTCAACCCTAAAACCTCCCCAGCTCTGGTGTTCTGGGGCCAATGTTAGCGTGCCCAGCTCTGTGAGCTGCTTGACTCCCGGGTGTCACCGACTTTTGGTTACCGTTGGCAAGTACGCTGTTGACGATGCATGTCTCCTTACCAGCACCGGACTTGGCAAAAGGGGGGGGGGTGGCGGGCACGCAGCATTGGGGGTTTCTGGGGAGGGGATCAGAGGCCGGGGAATCAGTGGGTTTCTATGGGAAGCTGTCGCCTCACAGCCGGGGTCGAGGCTTCTTTATACCACGTTTACTCCATCGGCATATTTGGGATAGGAACATGAGATGCGTTCCAGCGCCTACAGACTCTTGTTGAGGGAGACAAGTTCACGACGATTTCAAATCTTCAGCTGCTGGAGGTTCACGCTGATCATGCGCGAGCATGCAGATGCGCTGAATGACCGTTTCTCCGAGCGCAAGGACCGAGCCCCCAAGTAAACTTGGAGCACAGTGCGCGATGAGTTTTTCGGGATCGCCTTATAAACAGCCATCCCAGGCCTCCGATTTTTGGGGGAAGGCGAAGAGAATAAACCACCCTGACGAAATCTGATCTCCAAATGACGTAGTGCACAGCATGCACAGCTTGAGTCGATTTTCGCTTGACTCCTGGGAGGAAGTGGCTCAGAAGGGCCGGTTGCTGACGCAGGCCGAGTGCCTCGGATGATGACAGAGGGATCTCTGCCCGATTCAGATTGTATCGCCTAGGGCCCGTCCATGCCCCAGGAACACTAGACGTGCAACCGTGACGGCAAGACATGACAGGACAGGAGGTTCGTAGAAATTATACATCCGTCTCGTGAGCAAGATGTAGAAACCGCACCAAAGAATCTTGGACCTGTGAATCTATCAAAGCCTAGAGAATTCGTTTCTTGGTCCTCTGTGCCCAAGGAAAGAGAAGCTGAAGAACGAGGCTTCTGCTGATGCCGGGTCACCAGCTGCCGGCAGCAAGAAGTAGAAGGCTGTGAGCAACTCCAGCTTTTCAAGAGGAGGTCCCAAATGCCACGGGCGCGTGGTAGCTGACGCTTCGCAACAGTAGTCCTACTGCAGAGAAGGGCTCCCGCTCTGTCATCTACGCCACACCCTGTGGTTTACTGTCCCCCAATTCTGGAGTACCTTGGCAGTAAGACTGGAAACTTTTCGAATTGTCAGACTTTAACCCAGATTCGTGTAAAGAGGGCGGCACAAGAGGAAGGCTTGCCGTTATTACGGCGTCTTGATGCCTATCAACGCATGTGCGTCCGTCTACCTTGTTTTGGCGCCAAGCAGTCCCCAAAGTGCGGGCGGATGATGGCAACGGTCTTTCAGAACCCTCCCCCTGAAGGGGAACACCGGTTTTTCCTCAACTGGTGCTTGTGTCTTGAGAACATCGTGAAATGGGTGGAAAATTGATCGAGATGAGGGCTGTCGACATTGCAATATTGAAGGTGCCGGAGCATCCCATTAATAAAAATGTATTTGAATCTTGAAATATTCGTTTTATCGATTCCAATAAATCGATTTCGTTCTTATTTCGTTCATAAATTCATATGGATCATACATTACATTCGTTTCATTCTGTATTTCTATCTTTATTCACTTTGGTCTCTACATTTTAATAATTTTCCCGGATTCATAATAATAAGAATAATATCGACCGGGAATGAATACACTAAAATTAATATTAAATTAATATTATTTTCATCCTATTCTCTGGGCGATTCGATTATATTAATGATTCGTTTCACGTGGTCACTCATGACTTTCGTTCTTTGAAAATTCATAATAATATTCTCTCCATTCTATAATATTATAATTATGGGGCAAATAAGAAATATTTTAATACATCCCATGAATTAATATATTCTAAACGCCTATTCAAAGATCTTATTGGATATTCCTATATTTCATTCATATTATTTATCCTTGCATTCATACGTCCAATATTTCATTCGTCCTAATAATATCAATAATATGATATTCTCTTCGTAATAATATTTAGAGATGGACCCAATAGAAATAAAATGACCCATATATTTCGTTCATATATTCATTTCGTTGACTCACTTCGCGTATTTCTTTGTAAGATTCGTTCTTTCATTCATATATTCCCTTCATATTATTATAGGAATGAAGCGTGAACAATCTTGATGCTATAATTGCCCAACAAAGTAATGCGTAGAATGAATATAAATACGAATGAAATCCAGGAGTCATTCTTAATAGGCTTCCAATCATCAAGGATCTCATATATCTTGGCAATCATGAATTCCCTCTTATTCATCTTTCGTATTCATTGGTCGTTCTCCCATTCTCGCGGCATAGATTAATAAAGATGGAGAGAATGAAGAGAATGAATTTATGTGCGATCAAAATGATCAAATAAACGAAATGAATTCGTGATTATAATATTATTTCATGAGATTCTCAATATTAATATTCCTCTCTCGGTATTCTAAGGATTAATTATGAAGAGGATCTTATAATGAGATTCATGATTCATTATTAGAATACAGGTGAAGATAATAAGATTAATAAAGGGGCAAATGAAATGAATATATGAATATAATATATGATATTATTAATATTATGAATTTAATAAATGAGCCGATATGGAGGTGTCATCAGAATCCTTTTGCAAGAGATCTTGGGATTCAAGATCCTGATATTCTTGGCGAACCTCAAATCAAGGGTTAACCGATGATTGATCAAAAATTCCATTAAAAATATCATCTTCGTCTTCTCCTTTATGATCTCCTTTTTTCCCTATTATCTTCTTTCTTTCGTTAATTCATAGATCACGTATTCATTAAAAAATCAAAAATTTAATATGCAAATCATACGTCTTTCATCCTTATATTTCCATTCTAAATTTTGTATGATCTTTTGGTACTCCTTCATTTCATTCTCATACTTTAATTGAATTCGTGCGTCATATATTCCTTATATAAAGAAAATATCCGATCTCAAAAGCTCTAAGGTGCAAGAGACTTGTGCTCCCAAAAGCACCAATTCATATCTAAATCTTCATTGAGAGAGATTCGGCGGCGCCATAGAGACTTCTATCCCCAAAGCACCACTTGAAAGGAGACGTATGCTCCCATGATATCGGATGCCCTAACATCCAGACACACAAAAGGCAGCAACGAAAGCAATCAAGGGACCCAAGGCACATTAAAAGCCCGCCACCACCCCGAATTAAGCCCCAGGTCCCACGATCGCGGGAGACGAGAAGAACACAGTTGGCATCCGAATTCCCATCTTGAAATGAACAACGAACGTGAAACACGAGAAATGAAACAACCTCCTTCGACAGCAGTATTCTTTGATACCATGAGAACTATCGATCATCTCAAGACCTGCGCGAGGGGCCTGTGGCGAGGAACATCATTTTCCTATAGAAAAAGCCAGCGCCGATCACCACCCTGGTAAACGTAAGTAATCTTCAAGCAAGCACGAAATTCTCTGCAAGTATCTCAGGCTCCCGGCGATGAACCGTGCGACGGCGCTCCAAGCAGACATGCACGTGGCGTTGCAAGAGTATAGAAATACGCTCCTGCAACAGGCTCCGCGTTCGGCCTGGCGGCCGTCCGAGGGGTTCATCTGCAGCTTTGCACAACGAGTCCAGTATACGTCGTCCCTCTACATTCAAACCACCGGCATAGTCGAACACAATCGGTTCAAAACCTATCCCTTGCTCATGACAACGTTGCTGGATTTGTCGA